AAAAGAAAATTTCCACCAAAAAAACTGAAATTTAAAAAAAAACTTAAAAAATTTCTAAAAAAAAAAAAAAAAAAAAAACAAACAAGAAAGAGTTAAGTTCGTAGTTCCAAAAGTCAAAAATGTATGGAAAAAAATCTCAAATTTTATAGAAGAAAACTGAAACTTCTGAGTTTGAAAAGTTGTAAATTTGCTAGAAATCTCTCAGATGTTTAGCTTAATCTCAAAACATCTTTGGGATTTTCAAACTCAGAAATGTCCATGTTTTTTTCCAGAAAGTTTCTGAGACCTCAAAATTTCAGGGTTTTTTTTCTACCAAATTTTTGACTTTTCAAGCTCAGAAATTTCCAAGTATTTCTAGAAAATATGAGATTAATCTCAAAATTGTAGTTTATTTTTTTGTCTTTTTCTAAAAGAAAGTTGAGAGATTTCTGGGGGAAATTTACCTTTTTTCCTTTAGCGGCCCCGATTCCTGCTCACCGTTTGCTTGTTTCCGATTCTTAGCAGAAAAATGTGGACAGAGACGGCGAACAGCAGAGTTTCTTTATCCCTCAAGAGAACCCAGACAACAGTCCAGTCTCCATCTACTCTCCGCCCGCCGAGACGACGTCGCTCGCCTCAGAGGACCAGAACGTCTGTGAGCAACCAGAACCGAACAACAACGGCGGCGACGATTACGACTGTCGGGGCGAACAAAACTACGCGGGTGGAGGCTGTTTGGACGACAGCAACCCAAACCTGGACATGGAGGGTTTCGTGACAGGGGCAAACGGGACGGAAGACGACTCTCCAGACGGCTCCGTGAAGACGGAGTGCATTTCCATATCTTCCACGGAGGAGGAAGGATCGCCGTATGACCGGCCACATGTGTACTGCCAGAGGGAGCTGGGCGACGGAGATCTGGTCATTGGTTACAGTGGGAACTGACAGGAACAGCTTCTGGGATTCTTTCCTTTTGGTTGGTGCTTCAACACGAGCCTCACATGTACCTCAGGGAACATAAAGGGATACCGATGTTTGGGACGTCGATGCGCTCTTAAAGTGACAGAAAGGAAATCCATTTTTACATCCATGACCTCACGGTGGAGACGCAGTAGGCTGGGGACTCCGCCTTTCCGGATGCTTCCTGAAGCATTTTACCAGGTGCATTATGTTAAAGTGCACTATGCAGCTTTTAATTAAAAAAAACTTTACATATTTGTCTTGACAGTATGAGACAGATGATCTGTGGGGAAAAAACAGAACAAGCTCCTCTACCTTCCCACAGTGCCTACTAGAAACAGCCAATCAGCGCTAGGAGGCGGGTCTTGGTGCTGTCAATCATGGTTGTGTGGTTGTGAATGCTGAAGCTAGTTGGCATGGGAAGCAATAACTTTGGATGACCAGTTTTCCTGTAACAGTGAGCCATTTCTCTGCCATTAACACTGGGATGATTGACAGCACTAAGGCCCTCCTCCTGGCTCTGATTGGTTAATTTTGACAAGGAGTTGTAAATCTTTTCAATGATCCTCTCACATGCTGAGTTTTAATATGTAAAAAAAACATTTTGTAAAAGTTACTTACTGCAGCTGTAAAGCATCTTTCTTCAGGGATTTTTGATTAGAGAGGCGACACATGGCCAAAGTCTTCAACTATTTGCACTGATTAATCTGCCAAAAGTTAAACTTTAACCTCATTTAATGTTTCATTACCTGATCAATCTAGACGGCAGTCAGCACATGAAACAGTCACGCCCTGGATGACTGCAATGGAAACTATTTGACTTGTAAAACAGGCTTCAGAAGTTTTTTATAGAAGTTTACAGTACGTCGCTGAAGGATTGTTTCTCTTTTTTCCAGAGCTGCTATCTTATTAAGTTAGTATTTTAATAAATGTCTGAATGTTAATTTGATCTTCACTGCGCTCAAAGTGACTGCAGCTTCCTGCTGTTGTAGAACAGGTTTTCTTCCGTCCTTGTTTGCATGAGATGGAGGAAGGTCAACATGTTGCTCAACCAGAATCTCCCTGCTCTCAGGGCAGGTCAACTCCACAAAGGAAAACATTTTAGATCTTATAAATGACTTCTTGAAGAATTGGTGACTTCTGTGATTTTATGTATTCATATTTGCTTAAATTTTGTATATTATTGTCACCAATTTTGCATCATTTGTCTCTTTTTGTTGGGTTGAAATCCTTTAACCTCCATATTGTCAGATTTATAACAAGCTGCCAAAATGGATTCTTTTATTGCCCACAATAAAGTATTTGTATATATTTTTAGAGTGCTTGTTTTACACATTGTTTTTGCAGTTTGTGACGGCAGGAAGCAATAATTTTCTACGTAATGTTTTTTAATAGAGACGACATGGGCTGGTTGCTCAGTTAAATAACATAACATTCCCGCAGCAGTCCAGTTTTTGACGCAGATGAAACACCCGTTCCTCCTGTGGAACCTGTTTTATTCATTCAACCAGTTGCTTGCTTCTTCCTTTTTTTGGGTTTGTTTTCTGTCTGCAGTCAACCAGATTATCCGTAGGTCAACGCCGTCCTGTTTTCCGAGCTTCTCAGTTTCACTGAAGAGAGGAACATGTCCACTGGAAACGCCACAGGGTGAAACGTTTGTGCAGAACGCCGGCGGGCGGGCGGTCGGTCGGCGGCTACAGCTTCAGGCCCTGAATGTTTGTCCTTAAGTTCAACATTTGCTTCTCCTGTCGCACTTTCTCCTCCTTGAACGCCAACTTGTTCGCTTTCTTCTCCACTCTCCTCTCCTAAAGATAAAAAGAGAATATTCAAAGTTTATCCAAATGTGGAGCTTCTGTTGCAGTGTTTTCTCATCTGACAGGGAGTGTCTCTGCTCACCTTTTGTCAAGAAAAACAAACAAGTGGTGCCCTCAAAATCAGCAAATCATGACTAAAGATGCGTTAGCTGTAATGAAAATATTTTGCTTTGACTCCTCTTTGCTTATCGATAAACTTGCCTGCAACTTCGACATATATCTGGGTTTCTTTGGCAAATTTGACCTTATATGTGGTTGAAATGACTGAAAATAGAGACTCAAAGGTAACCTGCTAAAGGAATAGCAACTAAACCAAAATTGTACAAAAATGACATACATTTTGCTTTTATTAAAAAATGGTGTTTGTAAATGTTCTACCTAGATTTCAAGTGCCAAAGTTTTGGCTTCAAATTCTGTTAAAATAAGTAATTAAAGCAGAAAAGGTTGAGCTTTTCATACTGAAGTATTTTTCAGATGCATTCTTTGCTACAAATGATCAGCCGTGTGCTGAAGGAAAGCTACGTTGCTGCATTTTAGGAAACTAAAATTAAGTTGTTTTTTTTGGGGGGGATTTTTAATATTGTATAAAAAGTTTTGTGGTTAAATTAAAAAAATATGCAAGATGTGCCGCTTTTTTAATCTGATAAATCATCAGAATAAATCGATTACAAAAATAATTGTTAGTAAAACTGCAACTAACCAACAATGAAGATTGATTCCAACAAAACTGGTTCCCAGTAAATCAACCTACAGTTAATGGTTCAATGTTTTAGTGTAAAATGGCTTTAAATGCTATAGGAGGAGCAACAGAAGCCATAATATTAAGTACCATATGGTCACCAAAATGTTCTGTTAAATGGTGCAGGTTTCTCCTGACAAAGAAGCATTTTCATTTTCAGGGTTTTTGTGTAATAAATCGTCTACAAAGATGGAAAAGATTCAGCAGAAATACCGTAAATTACTTTACTTTCTGCCATCCAGATTGTAATTTTTAGCCATCAAGTAGCAGTTTGGAGAAACATTCCTGAGGAAATTATTTTTTCCAGAGATAATGGTTCCTAATATTAAAACAGGAAAAATCTTCAGAGTAATCGGTCTCTGTAGAAGATTATCTTTGAGTGGTATCTCAGGATAAAACAGCTCAGTTTTTGCCATTAATCTGTATGTGTTACCATGGTAACAGACCCACAAATCTGCGTTTTGACGATGGAAATCCTCAACGATCTCTGACAATCGTGTTCATCCGACTCGGTAAACGGCTCATAAAGCCAAACCAGAGGCTCTTGGAGGTTTCCTCACCTTCCGCTCCTCTTTGATGGCCTGCTTCCTCGCCCTCCTCTCCTCTTTGCTCTCCTCTTTGTTTCGGGCCTGCGTCGACACGCGCGGCAGATCCAAGTCGTTGATTCTCGTCATGCGCTCCGCTTGCTTGGCTGTGAGGCCCCTGGAGGGCAGGACGTCCAGGGGGATGCCCGTCTTACCGGACACACGGATCGCCTTCGGCTGCACACAGACGAGAAGTTTCCGTCCGATTCGTCAACCTCTGATGTTTGACTCTGCTTAATTAAACTCATAATTGGTTCAGTTTAGTTTGTTGCTAAACAAATTCTCAATTTTAGGAAGGTAAACTAGTAAAATGTAGCAAATCAAGCACCGCCACAGCAGCAAAGGACAGAGATTTCCATCCTTAAATTTGAAACAACCAAACCAAGATGGATTCCACTGAAGTTTTGGTACCATTTGGAAAATTTATTGACATTTTCACCAAGTTTGAAGCAACATTGCTAATGAAGTCGTCGCTTTTAGCCCGTAACTTAAAACCTCCACCTGCTGGTGTTTAAGATTTTACTCTTTTGTACTCGGTTCCCTCTGCTTTTAGAGCTCATAAAAACAGGAACTAATTTAACATTTCAATGTGGCTTTTCTTCTTTTCTGCCTGTGCTAAATGTGGGGGGAACTAAATGCGTGTTGCTATGGCAACATGCAGGGCAATGACAGCATCTGTTTTTGCTTTTTTTTTCTGTCAAACTCCAAGACCAAGTAAACTTGTTAACATCAGAAAAAGTCGTCCTCTATAAGCAGAAAACCTAGGAAAGATATTTTCTTAAGACTTTGGGCTTCCAGTGAGCCACAGCGATTAAAAACAAGGAAGAGAGGAAAAACCTCTGAAGAAGACACTGAGCGCAACTTTCTATTTCATGAAATGTAAACAAAGACGGAGCTGCGTCAGATTTGAGCCGTTTCAGGATTTCTGTTTTGTTTTTTCTACAAGACGACAACCCATTTCTCGAGCTACTGCTAGCCACAAGCGTCTGTTTTTGGCTAGATTTACCCAGAATGCCCTGCTCTACAGTCCGCTTCCTGCTCTTGAAGCGGACTACGGACTTATTGGCTTTCACATTTGCCTTTGAGCTGCACCGGAGTTGCTCAAGCTCCGCGTGGGTTCAGCTGGGGTTGCTAGGTTACCGGGCTGAGCTCAGCTGGGGTTGCTAGGTAACAGGGCAGCGCCAGGCAATTGTGACTTACTCATCGAGAGGTTTTTGAAACTGTTTGTTTTGTAGACGGCTAAAAACATGAACTTATTGTCAGAAATGACTAGGTGATCATTTTTTAAGCGGTTGGTTTGTTTCTAGAAGCAGCAGAGACCCAAATAAAATAATTTAAAAAAAAACATGAAAGAGTGAATTTTGTATAATGGGTTCCCTTTACACTCACTTAACCTCAGTGTAATTTGTTTTAAATCTAATTATTTGCATAAACAAATCCATAATCTAGCAACATGAAACCAATAGGCCACATGTCTGAAAATCACTTTAAATTTAAAATAACTTCCTATGCTCTTTACAGTAGTGGTTTTGCTGTACTATTGCTCAATAAGTGATCGTTCCATCTCCAAGGTATGGCATGTTCTTAGTTTCCATGACATCCTAAACTAGTCTGGGCTTGTGCAGATGGATAGTTTGTAGATTAGGTTGATGGATGTTGCACCATAAACGAACATCTCTCCCTCCAAGCTGAATTTAGAAGTTGGCAACTCTTGCAACTGTACAACTTATCAAAACAAAGCGAATATTCTGGGATATTTAAGCCTGACGGGTCAAAGCACACCGCATATGGGAAAATTAACTCACTATTTCTGGGTTATGTGTGCATCTTACTTAATGTGTGTAAATGATCGTATGTTTGATACCTTGGCTGGTTCTTCAATGACTTTAGGTCTGTTGTACAAGTTGGAGTATGTACCTGAAAAATAAGGATATGTGGTTAACATTTAAGCTAAAGCAGCATTTCTATGTAGTTTCAATATTTTATCTCAGTTTTTGACTGTTAATTTAATTAATGTGAAGGATAAAGGCGTTTTCTCTCGTCAGTGGAGACGATGGGGCTTCATAAGAGACGAGAGTCAAATTCATCACTGATGCTGATTGAACAAAACAACCTTATCAATCTAAATCCTCTAAATATTGTTTTTTATTCCCTTCATAAAGTCAAACAATTGACATTTAACAGTAAACGCATTTCAAACCTTTAGTAAGAAAAGTTCTGGTAAAACCCAGGAAGACCGGATGCCATGTTTGTGATTTGGGCAAAATAAACAATTTAAACTTTCATCTGCCTCAGAAGTTTGTGAACATAGATGTTATTACATTCTCCCTTGTCATATTAATAAGCTTAATTTAGAAAAAACACACAGCAGGTAAAATAATGTAGATGTTTCATCACTTCTGACTGAATTTAATGTTTTGTCTGGGATTTAGTGACATCTAGTGGTAAGTTGTAGGGTTAGATAAATTAAGACAATATTTCTTCCTCATATAAATTGTAAAACTCTGGTAAGTTTTTAATTTCAAGATATTTGCACCACAGGAACCTTTTCCAGGCACTGGGTAGTTTTCTGGGGACATTACTGCTCCATTTTTATTTTGGTCTCAACTGACATGATGTGCTCATTATTCATTTTCATCCTGGTGGCCAGAGCAGACCAGTAACAATTATAGTGGGTCACAACTAAGAAAATAAAAATAAATATGATTTTATGTATTAGCTTTTAAGTACCGTATTTTCCGCACTATAAGACGCACCTAAAAACCTTCAATTTCCTCAAAAGCCGACAGTGAACCTTATAATCCGGTGCGCCTTATATATGGACCAATATTGAGCCACAACAGGTCCAGCAACGGACCTTACCACAGGGGCCGCGTTTCGCTAATGCCCATTTTAGGTCACAGTGCAGCTACCACGTGCGTGACCGTCTCAAGCTACAGTAGTAAACATATGCTAATGTACATTGTGGACCATCAAAACCATGNANGCCGACTTACCCAGCCTTGCAAGAACNATAGGCATCAGTGATCTTGTCCACAGCTATATTTATGCTGAGGGTGTGAGGATCTGCCGCTTTCCTCATCTGTCGGTAGCTTTTAGCTGTGACGCGCACAATGTTGGAGGCATCCCGTGGCTCAAACACATTGATGTCGTCCAAAAAAGATGACATGAACTTGTTGGTTCCCCTGTCCATTGTCTTGTCGTGGCTGATATGTTGTGAAAATCCGGCAGAAATGCTACGCTAATTAACTCAGATCGGAATGAAATACGTCATGTTTACACAGACATGCAGTAGGCTGCTTACGTAGTTGGTCCACTACGGTAAGCAGCCGCCAACTTCTTTTTCCCCCGTAGAAGAAGAAGTGCGCGGTGCATGCTGGGATAGTTGTCAGAACACGGTTTTGTTAATAAATTTTGATAATACATTTAAAGGGGGGGAGGGGCAGGGGAAGAGAGACAGAGACTCTCTGCAGCATGTCGGTTGGTCTGTGTTACCCAGAAAGCAGTTGGGCACAATATCGCAACCCCAACACCGTGAGTGAAACAACGACTGGGCCAGCCTACTACATAAAGTACTCGGGACCATCTCTTTATTAATGTGGATGTGTAATAATAGAGTATGAAGCGTCTATTCTATGCGCCTTATAATGCGGTGCTCCTAATGTATAAAAAAAGTCCTAAAATAGGCCATTCATTGAAGGTGCGCCTTATAATCCGGTGCGCCTTCTAGTGCGGAAAATACGGTATATGTCTTAACTGAAGAAGATGACTGCATGCCTCTTTATAACATAAATCTCTGGGGGCCCAGTGGGGTGGCCAGCATTTTTCAAGAAGGGGCCATCGCCCCCTTTCGTCCCCCTCTTGGGGACGCCACTGTCACTGATGTTGTCCAACATTAGTGACCAACTTATACACCTGGATTTACACTGAGATTAAATTACACACAAGTGGTCTCTACTTAGCAATGAGGTGACTTAAAAATAAACTTTAGATTTTTTTTAAAGGTTATCAGAGTTTAGCACATCAGCAATGGCACATCTTAATTTTCTATTTGTAGAAAAGCTTTGAAAATTATGCATCGCTGTTATTTCCCTTCATAATTATTTGCCACTTTATGCTGAACCATAAAGTTGTAATGTGACAGAATTTAGAAAAGTTCAAGCTACTAAATGTGAATAAAAAGCTAAAACAATGTAAACAGAGACTTACTGATGATGGTTTCACAGTCCCACTTCTCCTGAGGAGCCTCGCAAACAACCGTCTCCATCTCCTCTTCATCCTCGTCTTCCTCCTCCTCATTCAAAACAGGAGGTTCTTTTGGACCCAAATCTTCAGGCCTCAGAGAGCTGACCCAAAAACGCAATAAAACAGTTAAATTCGGTAACAGGAATCAACGATCAGAGGTCAGGAAAGAATCTCACTCTTTTTCTTTCTGCTTGAAGTAATCCTTGATGACTTCCTCCAGGCGGGCGCTGTCCGGTTCGATGAAGCCCTCCAGCTCGGCGTTGTCCAGAGCCCCGATCTCATCGTCATCAAACTGCTCATAAAACTGAAAAACAAGAACGCCGCATCGTAAACGAGCCTCGTTAGCAGATTAGTAACTTCTCCTTTTACTCTGGAAAAGTTAAACATCAGAGCTCTTCAACTTTCAGATGAACCTCCTCCTTTGTATGCAGGTAGGTTCTCCAAAGTCCTGCTAGTGCTAGTTTGCTAACAGAGCTCAGTGTAGCGGTGGCGACCTCTGACCTTTTCAAAGCGGTCGTCCAGCAGGCTGAGCTGCTCGTTCCTCCTCATAACAGACGAAGTCAGCGAATACTCTGTGAAGCGACTCTTTGTCTCCTCGTTCATGAACAGAAACTCTCCATCATGGCCGCCGCCCTCCAGCTGCTCGTCACCTGAGAAACCGCCATCGGAGTCAAAGTCGCCTTCCTCGTCTGTGTCCTCCCACTCATCATCATCATCGGATCCTCTGTTGGAATCACACAAACAGGAAGTTTAAAAATATGTATTTGCATTGAAAGTACGGTTGAGCGATAAACTGATTTTATCTATTAATTGAATTTTCTGCTTTTCAAGATTTAATATTGGAAAATCTGGACTTGCATAGTTTTATGGCTTTTTTTTCCTCCTTGACTTGGAATTTAGGTAAATCCACAGAATTAACATATGAAATAAAAACCGTTTTTAAATTTATTTTCTGTCATTTGTAATTTTTTTTAAAGGAAAAAAAATATTATATCATAGATCAAATTTCTTCTAAATATATTGCTATTGTTAATACATCACATATATACTAAAAAAACTAACATGACTGAATAACCAAAGCCACATCTTCTCCAGGGCTTCCACACATTTTGAATATTCTAGACTCAGATACTTTTCTCTGCAGATTTCTCATTTGTTTTTAATATTTTCTGTCTTACTCTGCATCCACAGCTCCTTTTGTGCGGTTTGCTTTCAGGATGAAGTCGTCCTCCAGCATGTTGTCAGGGTCGTCGTAGTCAAAGTCTTCATCTAAAGCAGCTACAATATCAGGATCCATGTCCAGTCGGGGTCCTGAAAGAAAACACAGCACACAGTGAAAACAGTTAGGTTTATGTAAGAAAACATTCAAACTAACAGAACTAGTAGCTAGAAAACACATTTATTTTTTACGCAGAGATAAAGAACGTGTTTGTTTAACAATGTTTAAGGGATTTATCTGGTCTACTTTGAGTGAATTACCTGAAACAGGAGCGGCTTTGTTCAGAAGTCCCACATCTTCCTCAAACTCCGAGGCGAACACTGAAGACGGCAGGTGGATCGTAGCTTCCTGTTCGTCAAACCAGATAGGGTTCAGGGTTCGTTTGGTTATTTCTTGATTTATTGTTTATTTGTTTAACCGAGAAAATATAAAATCCTCAAAACTTTACCAGAAGCAGCAATATTAAACCAAGCACAAGCAACGTCAAAGGAAAAATAACAAGACAAAACCAATAATTTCTAGTTAAACTACATACTTTACTAGTATTTCTCACAAAAGATTTTTCCTCATTGCGTATTTTCATAGGACGGTAGAAGGATCTATATCCTTTGAAAATAGGATGTAAACATAAACTTACATTTATTTTAGCTTGGTATTTTTGTTGCCTAGAAAAAAACGTTAAATCCCACATGGCTAATTTACCAATTGCTGTTTTAATCATTCCTATTTAGTGATAATAAACCGGTCTAAAGACACAGAGAGATACTTGACCAGTTAGAAAGTCAGAAATCCAATATTTTCCTGGTCAGTAAACGCATCAGACCTAACAGACAAATCATCACTCTTTGGTGTTTCAAATTAAACTATTTTCAGCATCAGTGAAATGTTAAAAGTTATAGGAATCAGAGAAGCTCTTTAAATAGGATATTTATTTTCTACATGTCTTGAAATGTCAGTGATTTTTCAGGCTTTCAACACACAGCAGAACCACTGAATGGTACAGCTGAGTTTCTAGGTTTAATCCATTTGAGTTTCCATTAAAGAGAAATCTGCTCAAGTCAGTATCAAAGCTTTAAAAAAAAAAAAAGCTTGAGGATTGAAAATCAGTTGAAAAAAATTGTGATCAGTGCATCTTGACAGGAAATAAAAATTAAGACACTAACTCACAGGAATGTCCTGTCTAACAGTTTCCACCTCGTTTTCCTCATCATCATCTCTGATATCAGAGGCCCCTCTGTTGAAGTGTGAGGGTCCGGCGGTGACCAGCTCCGAGGGGCCAGACGCCTCCTTCAGGTGCTGCAGGTAGTCGTAATCGTCATCGAAGAAAACACCAAAGTTTCTCTGCTCTTCACGCCTCTTGTCTGCGTCCACCTGGGAAACACAGCCAGGTTGTCACTTCAGCATTTCCACAATCAGACGTGAAAAGCTCACTGCTACGTTTCACAACAGTACAGCTGAACATTTTTGCTTATATGCTTTTATTGTGAAAAGACCGCATGTCTTACTCTGGGTTCTGGCAGTTTTGTAAGGAACATGGTGTTGAAGAAACAAAGTTCTTTTTCAGCAATATGGAGTTTTATTAAGAGACATTAACATTGTACTTTAGTCAGTTTGTTGTTGTTTTTGCATAAGGAGTTCCAACATCAATTTATACTGTTGACAAATATTTCTACACAGTGAGAACAAATTGTTAGCAATTCTGCTGCAAAATTCTATGTTGATTCTAATAAACTTCACTTATAACACGGAGAAAATGTCTTGTTATAAGTGAAATAATCTGCCAGAGGAACTAGTACTTTTTAAAAATCAATATTAAGGAATTATTTACTTAAATAATGTCCTATCTCTTGCTGAAAAGTTACTTGTAAGTTAGTTTTGTCTTATTTCAAGTGTAGAGAAAAATACTTGGTAAGATTTTGTGTTTTTGCAGTGCATTGATGCGGACTTGACAAGAGATCAGACTCCAAGTTACCAAACACTTTACCCATCGGTGTAGGACTGTGTGGGTTGTAACTCTACTGTAAAAGTGCTTAAATTGGTAACTACTATGATCGGAAAAGTTTAAGTTTAGTTCATTTACCATTGTGAACTCCATAAAAGAACCAGAACCAGAGTCAAGGCTGTGAATGTTTACCTTTGCAGCAGGCAGGAGGACATGCTGTGGGGCTTTCTCATCTGCAGCCAGAGGATCCCTCTGACTTCTGTGGACGAGGTGAAAGGTCACCGCTTTCTTCTTTTCAATGAATGATTTCTTCTTTCGATGAGGCTGGATAAAAACAAACAAACATAAAAACAAAGGGAAATGATCAATCTTCTTTCCCGAACCATTCAGACATCAAAATTTCTAAGAGCTTTTCAAATGAGATGCTTAAAAAATAAACAATAATCAAATTTTGTAGCAAAAACAATTTAAAAGGTTTAAATAACTCTAGAAAGAGACACCAATCATGATTATTACAGAATAATAACACATAAAAAACCCAATGTCCATAATGTCACATCAGCCTAATCAATATTTTAAAGTAAACAAACAGAAAGCGCAAAAGAAACAGCAATAAAACAGCTGATTTCTTTCCTTTACGCAAAAGCAGCAGCAGTTTTGAGATTTAAATATAAAACATTTTTACCCTAAATACATAGTAATTGGGTATTTCCAGTTATTATAACTAATCCGAATAGTTGTTGTTAGCTAATGCTATTAGCTTAGTCTGGTAATGTCCTCTTACCATTTTGTTCCTGAAACTGTCACGATTTTCTTCCGCGGATCAAGTTTAGCAATGCCAAAAGCTCCCAAAACACCTTTAAAACACCCTTGAAATAATATAATTCTCAAAACGTAGAAGTTACGGTGAGCATTTATCAGTGCCGAAAAATCCTAAACTCGTGTTACATTAGACGGAGGACGTGGGCCGGACGTTGCAGTAAGTCTTGGCGCTGATTGGTCCAGAGTGTTCCAGAAGGCGGGCCCTTCACTCCAGCTGATCCAATCTGGACCCGTCTTCACCACGCTGCTTCCTGTTCTTCCTCTACTAGTGACTGCTAGCAAGCAACATATTTGAGCGTTATCGCCACCAGCTGATATAAAGTAAGGACTGCTTCTTTTTTTCTTTGTTCGCCACAATTTATTTGTCAGGCTAGTTCTGTATATCTTAAAGAAAATGTATCTTATAGCCAGTTTCATTGAGATTTCATCTAACCTCCTAAGTCCTAAACAAACACGTAGTTGTCATGGTAAATTAAAGATTTAGGGACAAGAATGACCTAATAAAAATACATTTATTTGACAGGTCAATAAAACATGAACAATAAATGTGTCAACATTATTGTTAACCGAAAAGGATCAGCTAAGAAGAGTAAAGTTAGTAAAAATGAGTGTTCTTCAGGAGATTCATTATCTGTTTATTTGTTTTATTTCATTAATTTATAGTTCAAAATAAACATGTCTCACATTGACACAAAGGTTTTGAACGAAAAAAATCTTGTATAGTCTTCCCCTTCTCTGAAAAAGTAAATTTACTTTACCATAAGCAACTAAGCAGCAATCAATTATCCATATAATCTTTAAACCCAATCAAGTAATGTGTACATATAAAAAATAACAATAAAATAAAGATATACATATTTTTTTTTGTGCTGTATGGCATTTCAGCAGAAATAGTGACTTAGGTAATCACACGTAATCGACTCAGTTAATTTAAGTTCAAGTTTATTTTTAAATGGGACAATACATAAAATGAACACTGACATGTAAATACATAACATTATAGCGAGAATTTCCATCTCTAGTCCCGACGGCAGGTTGATGTTAAAGCAAATAATAAATACAAGGATAACAACCACAAAATCACACTATGGAATAACAAATGCATAAAACAACCTTAAAATCCACACATCTTTGCATATAATCAATTTTAACATGTTTTTTTTTTATGAAACAGGAAGTGAAAGGTCCCTTGTGTTTCTCGTAATGGAAAGGATAATTTCTGATCAATGCATAAAGTATTATGTTTATAAAAAGAATTCATCAGGAGTTTCAAGTGCTGTTTATAATCTGTTGACTTTGCAGACTGTGCTGTACAGTGCAGATGATTCATCTGAAGCATCATAACTTTTCCTACTGCAAAGGGATAAAAAACACTTTGTAAGTATCAGATATTATCATTAAAAGCTTAAAATCTGTAGTTACTATAACTGGATTAAGTGTAAGAACATATAAAGGAAATAACGTTTTGAACCCACCAAGGTGTGTTTTTGATCATCACCGCTGAATACTCCACATCTTCCTCCTGGTTTTTAGATGTTTTGGGTTCAGCTGGTACAAAGTTGGAGTAAAGAGGTTCCTCTTGATTTTTACAGAAATGTACGCTAGCATAGCAAACGTCGTCTTGATCTGCTGAATTTCCAAGTCCTGCAGTTGATGAACTCTCCAGATGTCGGCCCAAATTCTGCAAAAGAGCAAATGGTGCATTCAGAAGAGAAACATAATAACCACACCCTCCTGAAATGCCCTGCAGAACCACAGCCTCCCATTAGATGAGAGGAAAACACTGTTCAAAGTATGTAGATGAAGGAAGACTAACACCCAATCTCTTCGCCTCGTTATCTCCTGGTCCCTCTCTGGTCTGATGAATTTGCCTTACAGCCTTCTTTTTTCTACAAATATAAAAAGGTCAAGAAAAAATAAGCAAAAGAATGAACGACATAGCATTCCACATAGAGCATAAAAACAGTGGTAAAGAATTTAAATCACCTAAAAATGATGAAGGCAGACAAAAACAAACCAATCAGGAGTAGAAACATGATTGACCCAACAACAGCAGATGAAACTGAACCTGAGAAAAGGGAACAAAAACAAGAATAAAGAAACATGAACTGAATACCTAAAATAGTCACAGATGCAGAAAAATGTTTGCTTAAAATAATTATCTGGTAATGAAGAGAAAAGAGCCAGGAAGCTAAAGAAATTAATTCAGTCTTATTTTTAAAACCCTATACAGTTTAAAATTAGAAGTCACGCAGCAAATAAATGAAGCAATTATTTGACCTTCCTGTTTTTGTAGGTAACATAGAAAGAACAAACTTCCTGCCAACTAACAGTATGCATCTGATAAAGGACAAGTAGCAGAAAGAGTAATGTAAACACACGAAGGACGCCAACTAACGCAATAAAGCAAATGGCAAACGTGAGCCAGATGTGTAGCGACAAAGTAATGTACAGTCAAGTAGAGACAAGTCTCTCAAATCAAGGCAGTTTTTTTCTCCATACTGACAAACTACATCATTATGAAAAGATTTTTGATATTATCTATACTAATTGAATGTACAGACAGCTATTTATTAGTATTGTAATAGTTTGTTAATGTTTTACCAAGGCATTCTGCCACAACCGGTCCTTTTTAGGATATTTTAGATGTTGATACGACCCAAAATGAAAACAGGTTTGCCACACATGATTTAGATGCACATGAGCATCTTTAAATAATTTATTTTTAGTGTTAATTATATAACAAATATTGATTATTTTTGACAACCTTGACAGCCACATTGCAATAAATAGCCATAAAGAATATAAGAAACTACAATGAGTCTGGAAAAAAGGAGGATCAATTCAAAAACATTGGACAACATTTAGCTGGAGCTTCTTTTCTAATGTTCAAGATCTGAGATCTGCTACTAAAATATCCAACCCTTAATACAACATATAACTACTCTAGAATAATTTCAAAAACTTCCTGAATTCTAAACCAGCAAATGAAGAATATTTCTTTTACACCAAGAAATATCGATTTTATTTGAAGTATTTTGAAAAACATTCAGATATACTCTGTTTCTTAATTGGAACACGACTGGATCGAAGCACATCTGAATCTGCAGAATAAACAAATTTGATCTCAACTGGAAGTCATGCTGAAGATTTTCTATGTAGCTTTACAGGATAAAAATGTGTGTATAGGTACAGATGATGAGAATACATTATATATTTATTTTTAAAAATGACAGCAGCTTACTTGAAACCACAATCAGATGAAGGGTGGAGTTATGGTGTCCCCTGCTGTTTCTGGCTTGACAGTAGTAATTTCCACCATGTTCACCTCTGATGTCCACAATGGTAAACGTCTGTCCATCTGCTGCTGGGGAAGTTGAATCCTCTTTGTACCAGGCATACATAGCTGCAGGGTTTGCTGCACTGCTGCAGGTCAGATTCACTGAACTACCTGCTGCTACGTCACCAGGAGGATTCACAGACACAGAGGGAAGCCTTGGAGAATCTGATGGAAAACGATCAAGAAAACACGTCATGTTTAAACAACGTCTCCAAGCAGACTGAATGATATTTCAGAAGAGCGGTTGCACATGTGTACCTCAGTTTGCCTATTTGTGCAAAAATGTAAGCAAAAATCTACAAGCATACCATTCATGTTTTCAGAACTGGAGGACTTTATTGCATATTAGATGCAGTTTCGTACAATCGCTGGATCTGTGTGACAAGGCTGCATACAGAGAATTCCCTAAAGATCCAATTTAAAGGGGATTTATTATACAAAATTCACTTTTTGCATCTATTTTTGTTCTTCTATTTGGGTTTCAACTGCTTCTAAAAGCAACCCAAACTTAAAAAAAACCTCACACCCAGTCAGTTTTTGACAATAAATTATTGTTTTTAGGTGTCTAGAAATTGAACCGTTTCAAAAACTTCCTTAATGTTAAGTCACAATCAGTGGGCACTGAGCTGTTACCTAGCAACCACACCTGTTAGCTAGCAACCCAAGCTGAGCTCCAGCATGTTTGGTTAACAGTTATTGTTTTTTTTTTGTTTGTTTGTTTTTTTCTGTATGCGTTGTATAATGGCTGCTGGAAAAGAAAAGTGTTTTGTTGTTGACATACCATTCAAAGTCAATTTGCTGCATTCCTTTTGGTTGTGCAGGTAGTATTTTGTAATTTCTCATCTATTTTCAGGCATTTTCACATGCAAGTGTAAATGCTGAGTTGGGGGGCGTGGCCACCAGCAACTTATTTGGATTTAAAGTGACAAGACACTTTAAGACAGCTCATTGTGAAAGGAGCTCAATATAAGCAGAACTGAGCAGACTAAAATATCATTATCTAAGAATGATTTTGTGCAAAAAAATTTAATGAATATGTTTTGTAAACCAATCCTAACCTGTTCAAAGAAGAATAATAGGTCACTGTGGTTGTTTGGGGTTTGGTATAAACCATCCATCTTACAACTTTGGCTCTTCGATGAAGGTTTTAACAAATATTCAGAGAGAACCAATTGTGCACTTACACTCCACATTTATAAGAACAGTTGAAGAGTTGATCCATCCATATATGTTCCCAACCTCGCAGCAATACGTCCCGCTGTCCTCAGACTTGACAAAAGTGAACTGATACACGCCTCCTTGTCCTTGAAGCATCATTTGGTTGTCTTTGTACCATCTGTTAAAAGGTGCTGGGTTTCCATCACTGCTGCAGGTCAGATTTACTGAATCACCCTCCACTATCTCTGCGTGACTCAGGGAAACATCCGCACGTTTTGGAGCGTCTAAGAAAAATGAAAAGAAGAAACCTTGAACAATGTGTCAAGAGATTTGGTTTCTCTGTAGTTCTAGATTTCTAGAACAAGGATTTTCAAAGTTTAGGAGAGCTAAAAAAATAAACTTTTTGTTGTTTCCTTTACTTCATGTTCCATTCACTGATGCTGTGATGTTTACCTGCTTTATATTCGTTATTGAAGCTTGTGGCGAATGAACAGGCAAAGCAATACATTTCATTTAAAATGCAAAAAGTATTGAATATATAAACAAATAGCCACTTAATTACATACAGACAAAATTATACCAATCACAGAAACAATCATCCTCAGGCTTTAGCCTTTCAAAAGATCTCAAAAACAAGGATTTTTAAAACTTCAACTGAAAATAATCAGTAGTTCTATTTCATTATCTTGACTAGTTTTATACAGAAACTAATAAAAAATAACTCCAGACAAAATGGGGCCTAAAAACAGATCCTAGCAGTAAAATTAGCAACTGTCGACAAAAGGATCCCCCAAAAAAACCCTGAATGTTAAAAAAACTTCAGCTGAATTTGGTAACGCCATATAAAATTTTGATTGGGATTTAGAGAAGTAAAAGTTAAGATATACACAGCCAGCACCTGTATAACAGCGCCCCCGGTGGCTGGATGAATGAATAGGCTATAGGCTTAGTGAAGTTGGCTAAATGTTTGCAGTTACTTTGAGCTCTGGCGCCCCCTAGCGGGGACACGGCCCACACTTTGAAAAACCCTGTTCTGGAGCGTAGCACACAAATGAAAGTTATTTATAATATATTTAAATCTTAGCTTCCATAAGTTCTGCCAAAACACCAAAGGTATTTGAACAACAACCTGGAAAGGACATGTACAACTTGAATAAATAAGAAGGGCTTAATTAACAAATAATTTTCTCTAGTTAAATTAATTCACAATCTGGACAAAATATTTGTCAAAATAGCTATTCTACTTACATTTCACATCAATATTAAGGTTCCCAGATCTGCTTTCCCCCAACTGGTTCTTGGCTACACAGAAATATTCCCCAGAATCAGACGCCTGGATGGGATTCAGGTAAAACTCTGAATCTTTTCTGTGAAGTGGATGAGCTGACATTTTAGTCTTCTTGTACCAAGTGTAGTTAGCGGGTGGATTAGCATCACTGCTACACTTTAGAAACACTCGGTTGCCTTCAACTATGCCATCAGAGGGATCGGCTGACACAGAAGTTAAAACTGGAGCATCTGGAAGAAATAAGAAAATAACAAGCTGTTACATTGTGGTAAACATAGAGAACATGAAAGTATACCATCTTGACATTAGCTTGGAAGTACAACACTTACATTTTATTGAAACACAAATTTATTTAGGTTCTAACGTACTACTATTTATATTCCACCCCGTTCATCTTAGGCTATTCAGGCAGCAAGTGAATGCGACCCAAATTCTACAGCAGCCCAATTTCAACCTTTTTATCACCCAAAAAGTCAGATTTATGTTTACAGATGTGTTTTTGTCTGAAGCTCAACTGACAGAAATAATTGAAGGAAGTACAATTTCAAAAGTAAAATTGTGCGGACAACTTTAAAACAAATGTGAATTTCGGTGCATGGAGTCAAATTGTGGAATAGATTGGATTATGATTTGAAAAAATGTCCTACATTAAACCAATTCAAAATACTTTATAAGAAAAAATGATTAAGTCTTGTACACTTTTCAGTTAACAATGAGGAGAATGATATATTGTTTGTAATTTTATGCAAATAATCAAAAATATGCACAAAGCCAATTAGTGTGGGAATTAATAAAGCAATAAATGATTCTCTCTACTGCCACCGGTTCTTCACAGTCGCCAAAAAGAAATGGGAAAAAAAACACGCCAGGGATAAATAGATTTTTTTTTCTTTTGATTGTCAAATCAAATCAGCCATGAAAGAAAAACAAATATTGTGTAATTATTGAGAATGGGAGAGTTTTTTTTTTTTTTACGAGGTTTTTTTTTTCCAGCTCCCTTTTCACTCATGTAGACTCTGTTACAAGAAAATGTTTTCATGGGTGATCAAATTTGTTTGGTTGAGTGAATAAACTGATTGATTGATTGATTGATTGATTGATTGATTGATTGATTGATTGATTGATTGATTGATTGATTGATTGATTTCTATCTGCACTCTGAGAGGTTGTGTCGTATGTGAGACGTGTTAGAGTTCTGCACCAGAAGAAGTCAGTGTTGGTAAATCCAGACAGAACGTAAACAATGGCTGAAAATTGTAATTATAAACTTTTGAAAGAAGTCAGTGAAGAAGGTAACATCACAATCCCACCACTCTTATCTCTGACTACACATCCAAACAAACGTCTCTACAAACGTTGCAGTCACTGCTCCACTGAAGGCTGTTGCCACTAGTTGTGGTTTCTTTTTATTAACTTCTTTGTCTTGTCATCTTGTGACAATCCTGTCAGTTTTCATTACTGAATAATTTTAAAATCAGAAGCAATAATGATTTAAAATGACTCAGTGATTGTGTATTTTAGAGTCAACTCACACACTTCAGGAGCTTTGTGTTCCTTAAACGATAATACAGAACAGGAGATTCTGTCTGTCGTGTTAATCAACACTTTATAAGTAGATTTGCTGTGACCAATGTCCTGTCCATTCCTGAACCATTTGTAATAATAATAGCCAGTTGGGGTGCATCTGCTGTGACATTTCAGCTCTGCATATTGTGGATCCTGGTTGGTTGAAGTTCTTGTCACTTCCACCTGCAGATCTGGAATATGACATAAAGAACCACATCAGTTATAATCCATAGTCTCAGGATGAGAAGCTGATGAACTGTAGGATCATCAGTACCTGTGACGGTCAGAGTTGTTCCATGTAAATCACTCCCCCAGGTAACCCGGTTTGTTTTGAATATGAATCGATACTCTGCTGAATCATTTTCCGTTAAGTTCTTAATTGTCAGGGTGGACTGTGGTATTGTGTTAATGACATGCACTCGACCCAAATATCTCGGGTCTTGTCTTAGGTCCTCAGGTTCTTTACTGCGTCCAGGACTGAACCAGAATAATATGACAAAATCTGAGGAATAATATGAATTGAAACTGGAATAAAAGCTCACTGAAGAACCTTTCAATGCACAGATTCTTGCATGACTGTAAGTCACTTTATTACATCTTTTGTTATTGACACCTGAAAAAAAACAAACATTTTTTTCATCAACGCTAAGTGACAATTTTCACTATTATAATTTATGACCACAAATTTGACTTTGATATAGACCAGTGTTTCTCAACCCTGGTCCTCACCGCCCCCCCTGCCCTGCATGTTTTAGGTGCTTCCCTTCTGCCACACACCTGAATTGTATCTCTGGGTGATTAACAGGCTTCGGCAGTACTTGATGGTCATGCAATCGTTTGAATCAGCTGTTCAGAAATAGAGGCACGTCTAAAACATGCAGAGCAGGGGGGCGGTGAGGATCAGGGTTGAGAAACACTGATCTAGAACATGAATTAAGTCACTTTTTTATTTGCGGCCAGACACAAAAAACATAGATCAAAACAATCTAATACCTGCATCACAGTAGCTATAGCTAACACACAGCATTCATCCCTAGAAAGACCTTTAACTGCTGGTTAAAATAAAAAAATAAGCTAAACAGTAAATATAATAAAATGATGAAAAGGAAATTTAAAACAATGAACTTAAAACTACTAAATCAAAAACAATTACAATATTTGCAAGTACAATTCTGATTAATCTTTAGTCAACATTTAAATATTGAAATGAATATTTTAATACCAGTTATGGTTTTAAAATTAAAACTGCAACTAAACCCAATTTAAACATAAAAATGAAAGAGAAATCTGACAAAGACTGTGACAGGAGGTGAAGTTAAGAAGATGTTGGAATAAACTTACAGAATAAAGGAGACGGGAAATCCTCACGTCCTTTCAGAGCGCAGGACAAGGTGTCGTCACTATCCACCCATGTGTTATAAACGTATGTCCCTATCTCCATATCTTTTCCATTTTTGTACCACACATATGTAGAATGATCAGGTAAAACACATGAGCTGGAACATATTAGGTTACTATTCCAGGATGAACTCTTCTTCCTGACAGTTAGATTTGGATCTGAATCTGAGTGGAGAGAATGTAAGATTTTTTAAAATAAAAATAAAAGCACAAAGATGTTGCTAGTAAATTAGTATTTATCATGTGGAAGTACAAACCTGTGACAATTAACACAACTCCTGGTTCACCAGTATAGCTTCCACCTGACCTGCTTGTAATGAACCTAAACTTGTAGACAGCCGAGTCGCTCTCTTTCACGTCTCTAATTGTCAAAGTGCAATTTTTCTTTGAGCTGCTGTATTCCAGGCGATCTGCATATTCCTCCTGTGTCTTCACATCTACAGGGCCCTCATCAGTTTTAGCAAACCAAAATGTTTGTGTGACGCTGATTTTTATGTTACCTTCCTGCGATGGGTGTCTATACATGCAGCTCATTCTCACCGTAGATCCTTTTAAGGCACAGATGTACTGGGAGCCATAAGTCACACCCCATGAAGAGTAAGTCTGTTCCACTGAAAGACAGAGCACAACAGAAACATATTTAAGGATATGAAACTGTCTGCTTATTCTAGTATGACTCCCCTCAAAAGAAGCAGAAAAGGACAAAGAGAATAATTTCAATTAGCTTAAGTTTGTTCAGAGCTTCTTGTTCTGATTAAACAGAATAAATCTCCTTTATGTTCTTAATTTTATGTCCTAACTGTTTTAGTAGTTCAAATTACTGACCATCGAGCTAATCGAACATAAATCTTCGTTTATGCTCAAGAGGGAATGTAGAGCTAGGATACAGTTTATACAAACTATAACATTTAAATCTAAGAAGCAGAAGTAAATTGTCTTTTTGTTTTCAGTTACTAAATATAAGCACAGATTTAAAAACACAAGGGAGTTAACCACATCTGCTCTGCTTGGTTGATCTGCAGGCGCTGGAACGATGTAAAAAGGAAACTTTAGCAAAAATTACCGCCATCACTGAGGCCTTTTGTTGCTTTTTATACTTTGATTTATTCATGTAGTAGATTTGTACAGGACTGAGCAAAACCCCCATGAACTAAAATGATCGGTCTTTAGTGGGTAAAGAAAGAAAGAAAGAAAGAAAGAAAGAAGAAGAAGGAAGATTTGATTTTGTTTTTAACAGCACATTTATTTCTCATTTTGACAGTTTAACATTCACATAAATGGAGAGTTAAAAAATAATTTTCCATCAATCACAGAATAAACATCATTAAAACACCACAAAGAGAAAAACTCAGCCAGGTTATCCATCATGAAGAAAAACAGAAATGTAGCTTTTACTTTGATTTTTACAGCCAAAGTAAACATAGTGCCAACATTTCCCCCAGGAACATTGTTTAATTTATTTTTCTCTACTCATTTAAATTAAATATTTTGCTTGTCCAACAAGAAAATTATATATTTTCCACTTACTAGCTTCCTTTTTTGTATAACCTGCATCAAATACAGCTCTGGAAAAAATGAAGTGGCCACTTAAAATGATCATTTTCTCTGATTTGACTTTTCATTGGTATATTTTTGAGTAAAATGAACTTTGTTATTTTATTCTATGAACTACTGACAAAATGTCTCTGAAATTCCAAGCAAAAATTTTATATTTATTTGCAAAAAATGAGAAATGGTCAAAATAATGAAGAAGATGCAGCGCTTTCAGACCTCAAATAATCCAAAGAAAACAAGTTCATATTCATTTAGAAACAACAACATTAATGTTTTAACTCAGGAAGAGTTCAGAATCGATATTTGGTGGAAAAACCACGAGGTTTTCAATGCGGTTCAGTTAAGTTTTCCAGAGCTGTGTAAAAAAAACACTTCAGACCAATGGACCTTTTTGTTAAAATATCTTCCAGCAGGATAAGCAATGGTGCAAATCATTTACATTTAAGAAATATGTGAAACATGTGAAAAGTAGTTTCTGCTTCCAGACAAAAAGAACAAAATGTATTTGTATCTTTTTAAATTTTAGACACAAAGAAAAAAAGATGAAGAGTCGATGGTGACCAAAGGCTAAAATTTTGTTGCTTTTAAAACTACCAACACTTTTCAAACTAAAATTGATCTTTTTTTATTTATATTACATTTTTCTGATCCATTAAGCCTGAATCATTTCAGTCCTTTGTCTGTAAATGTGAGACTCTCACTCTCAGCTCACTTAACGTAAAGTTGTGATTATGGAAAAACTGTCAACAGTCCTAAACTGTTTACATCCTCTTTGTTTTTAACAATGACAACAATACGATCAGCATATAACTTTATCAGCATAGGCAGAGTAAGTTTAAACATGTTAAAACCTGCAAAAACCTCCTATTAAATGGAAAACCTAACATTATTTAACATTGTTTCAACAGCAAGCACATTTTTCATAGCAGATAATTCCTTTAGACATTTTAAAATGTTTATTTGAACAAGCATTCATCCTGAGTACAGTTTGCTGTCTTCATACAACCCACACTTTCCAACACCCTGATTGTTTTCACTTCGATATTGTACCACTAATGGTTGGCTGTGTTAGGATTTTATTTACAACTCCAACTGCTTAATATTGCAGTAATACATAAATGTAAGTGTACAACTTTCAATAACAAAATTACATCATAAAATGCCTGTTTTTATGACAGTTTCATTTAGAAGAATGATGGCCAACTGAATTAGCTCAGTCACTGGATCTCAGGTTAAACAGGACCAGTTCAAAATAAATAATAATTCAATAGTTCAAAATAAATAATTAAAGTTCAAAATAACTTTAATTAAAATGTAGAGACACAGTACCTTCACAGAAGAGAAAGAGGAGAAAGAGACTCGCTGCTGCAGATAGACTCATGGCTGCTTTTCTCCTCTTTTCAGTCACATCTGCGTGTTGCCCACATTTGTTTGATGCAACTTCCTGGTAACCTTTGCAACTTTTATTTTCTCCAACGTGTCTGAGGCAAACCCGACAGCTGAGACTTCAGCAAGCAAGCTGTCATTTGTTCCTCTTTACATTATTAATATGCATGGATGAAGGCATGACAGTAAATCCCTTCCGTCGCGCTCTAAAAAATGAAGAAATGATTCCTGCAGATGCTTTCTACAAGTGAACTTCTTTGGATGTGTAAACTGTATATGTAGCAGTACAAGATTGGAAAATCTTAATAGTTTTACATCACATTAGAACGTAAACAAGCAGGGTAGAGAATGAGAGGTTTTGAAGATTCAACCAGATTTTTACAGTTTGCAAAGTTTTTAAACTATATTTATGACTCATTTGTCCATTTGTACTTAAAATCCATTGTTGTCTTATTGTTTCTATTGTGCAGTTTGGTGGAAACTGCAGCATAATAACATAACTTCCAACTACTGCAAAAGCTAAAAATAGACAGTTATGCAAACTCTGGTTTCAAAAAAGAAAGTGAAACTGTCAAACACCTGACATGAATCCATTTGAGAATCTATGAAGAAGAGTTGGCCAAAAGTAGTGACCTAGAAAACTTTCATACTATTAAGAAAACATGAGTGAAAAAAAGGGTCAAAATCACCTCTGAGCGAGCAATGCATGGGACTAATTTCTCCACAATGGAGAAACCAGAAGACATCATAAAGTTATCATTAGTAAGGAAGGCTTTTCCAGGAAATATGTTAAAATTTATGTGAAGTATTCAATACTTACTCTCTGTGTCATTCCAGTTAGTTACCCTTAATTTTATTTATGGACTAATTTGCTTAATTTGGTTTTACTTCCTTGCAGCATGTGTAGATTGCTTGGATTGTCATCAGCAACTAGCATACTAGTATGAATCTTTGGCGATTCATGTATACATCTTCACGACAGACACATTCAGGTTCTCTGTATTTATTCTCAGAAGAGAGGAAATCAAGTTGGCGGCTAACATCAGTCAACCAGCTTCTGCCTCACAGTTACAAATGGGAACAAAAAAAAGGGGGAGGAGCTGCCAGTTAGTGGTTACAATGATTGAGCAAGAGCAGCAGAACAGAACTTAAAACAACAACTAGAACATTTCTGAAGGAATTTAAACAGGGCCTGCCAAAGTGAGCCTGTCGGTTGGAACTCGGCATTCGAATGCTAAACATTTGCGTCAATGCTAAGCTTAGCTAAAATAATATTAATGGCATGTGGAGAATCACGATAATATATAACATAACATGGACATAGTCCATTCAGTATGTTAAAACTAGTGTAAAAGCTAAAATTAGCCAAAATCATTAGCATGTGGACTTACATCAATTTCGTCTATTCAGCATACTAAACATGGCTACTAAATAAAAAAATAGCTCAAATGCTTATTTTAGAAAAATGTGATGTAAAGCACTAACTTGAGAGAAAGAATTAGCTAAAATGCTTATCTTAGGAAATGCTTGTTTTAGGGTAAGAGTTAATGTTAGTGCATGGCTTTGCTTAGCCTGAGAGAAAAAATAGCTAAGATGCTAACTATATGGAAAAGACCGATGTTAATGCAAGTTAGTTAACATGCAAGTTAGTTAATGCAAGTTAGTTCTCTCACTAACTTGAGAGAAGGAAATAGCTAATGCTTATTTTATGGTAAAGGCTAATAGTGGTACACTGCCTAAGACGTTGCTCTAACCTGAGAGGAATATTGAGGCTTTTCTTTTGAAATTTTCATTAAGCTTCACTTTAAAGGGCCACAATAATCCCATGTGTAATAGTGGTTGGCTTAAACCAGTCAAATAATGGCGAAAACAGCAATTATCTGTTGTGAAAAATGTGAAGGCTTTTATTTTGGAGGTTATGTGATGCTCTCATTTTGACAGTCCAACGTGGTTGTCACTTAAGGGGTATCGGGTTTCATGAATCACATGGTACTTCCTTTGCTCTTCTGCCATCTTGTCTGTATTAAGTGTTCCATCAAGGTGCTATTTCTGTGTTTCTAAATGTTATTTTGAAATGTTAGCTCTGCCCTCTGTTGTAACTCACTGTTCCACCATCACTGTGGTTCTAAAGGGCCATTCAGTATGGCCCAGAGGGGCAGACACAGTTCCATGTCTTTTCCTAACTGATACAAAGCCGTGTCAGTTAGAATTTGCTTTGAGTTGAATTTGGCTCGTTTTTTCGTTAATTATGTCGCCATGGTTACTCGAAATGCCAACAAAAGTAATAGCTCCCCTCACGGGATCGAGTCGCACGTTTCGACATATACATCGTGAGGGGGTTCTACTTGATCTTTGGGCAGATGTTGTGAATCCATCAGAGGAATCTGGGAGACCCACTGCTGAGTCTGAACAACATGGTCTACTCTGCAAAGTCAAGTGTTCATTCTCATCTGAGGTACAAGAGGCAGTAGGAGGTTGTGTTTGGTGCTAGCTGGAAAAATCCACAGCTTCATTTCCAGCCGAAGCAAAATATGAGTTATGAGTCAGGCAGGACTTGGCAGGAAGTTTACACATAGCAACAATTTACGGTGCCCCACTTTTATCTGACATGAGATGGGATGGCGGACTTCAAATCGCTGCTGACCACACTATAGGCCACTTCTCCCCATCTATCTGCCAGCTTTCTTCGAGCTCTCTCTGCCTTGTTTGCTAAGAGAACCAATTTCAATCTTCACCCCTTTGACTCTTTTGTTGAATATGTTGACTTGCCACCTTTGCTCATCACTTGAATGTTTCTCTGCTGCAATCATGGTTTCATGAACCCTGAAAATTACCCTGAGAGACTTCACCGTCGTCTCTCAGGGTAGATTTGAACAGGACGTTGACAGGAAGGTGGGGAACTCGGCCTAACATTATAAAAGGGTGGAAATCCAGTAGTCTCATGGATGGATGCTTGTGATGGAAGAGTTCTAATCATATTGCCCAACATACGGTTAAAGAGCTCAGCAGATCCATTTCCCATTGGATGATAGGCTGTGGTGTGGGACTTTTTTACACCGGAGATCAGAAAAAGGACAGCCATCAACTCGCTCTAAAAGTTGGCACTTTGATCTGAATGTATTCTTTCATGTATTCTTTGTAGCAGAAGTTATCCCACAGTTTCCGTGCTACGTGTTTAGCTGTGCGATCAGGACAATAGAAAATATGTGCCAGCTTGGTGAAGTGGTCAGTCACTATGAAAACATCCGTGGTGAGGTTTATATAAATAAATATATAGCAATTCCCACTTGGATATGGTATATAGTGTGATTCTGAACAAAAAGTGAAAGACCAGTAAAAATTGTACTTAAATTTCAAGAGCAGGTTTTGTAATAAAACCAGTGCATCTCTGTGTTTTAAATTTCTAAGTGGAGTAAAAAAAATATTTTGATTTAAATTTGCTTATTGCTCAATAAATAATTGCTGCAAAGAAAATAGTGCTAATAATAATGATATATAAAACTTTTTAGCGCTTTTTTGGACATTCCAGGACGATTCACAAGAAAAAAAACTAATAATATTATTTATTAATTTATTATTAAAATAACAATGATGTTCGTTTCTAAATGGATTTTTCTAATTATCATATATTTCTACAGAAAATGTATAGGTTTTCTGCTCTAACATCAGCACCAGACATTACAATAACACAAACAGTATTAATCTATGGGAGCAGAGCTCTATTTAACGCCATCTGCTGTAATACTGAAAGACAGGGAGCTCCACCAATCAAACGCAGCCGCCTTTGGGCTTTGGACCAATCACACGCCACCTCTCCGGGAGTGGGCGGGAACAGTGCAACGGACTGACTGTAGCCATTGATGCGCTTCTTTTCGAAGACAAACCGATAATTTTTCCCATTTCTGCGGCTTTTCCCGACTGCAGCCATGGTGTCTCACTCTCTGGCCCTGCCGATGATCTGCTTCACCACGTTATGGGCTCTGGTGGGGGTCGTGGCTCCATTTTTAGTGCCGAAAGGACCCAACCGCGGGTAGGTGGCTTCTCCAATTGGCTGAATCCTTTAATAAATTCTCTTCAATTTTAAACATTAGGAAGCCTGCAGTCGTTTTATTGAAATCGTTTCCTTCAGAACATGTGATTTTGCTGTGTTGGTGTGTTTAGAAATGAATTAGAGTTTCGCTTAAATCGTGATAGAGGCCTGGCGTCATCAAGGATAATCCCTCCATCATCCTTGCATCCATACAGACACACACTGTCCCAGCGCCGTCATCTCTTCCGTTCAGCGGTCAAATCATGCCAACATTAATGAAAACATTCATTTATTATTGTTTCCTGTTGCAATTTCACTTATTTACGCTGACTATCAAAAGTGTGTTGAAATACCTGTCTTTTATGTTTGTTTAAAATATTAACAGCATGAAAACAGCATTCCAAACAAATGTTATACACTTAATGCGACATGTTTTGCACCAATCTGTTAGATAAATGTAAAAAAAAAATAAAACAAGATGTTTTCAGTTGTATAAATTTACAAGCTTATTGATTCAATTTTGCATTCATTGTTTGATGTGTTTCTGGCAATATGTCAGATTGTGAGAATTATTTTCAGCTGTTTTCAAATGACTAGACAACTTTTCTGTCAGAGTTTTGCGCATTTCATTTTCTGATGAGGCTTAAATAATTTTCCAGTAAATTCTTTATTTTATTGTCTTGGATGTTTGCTGGATTTTTGGTCAGAACGAACTAGTGTTATAATTTCATTCACTTTGACAAAAATCCAGTTTCATCTGAAGAAAATTCAGATTAAGTGATTTTTGTGTACTACTCATAATATGGAGAACCAATCCTGTCATAAGTAAAATTCTTTATTTCTTCTTAATTACGGCAGGATTGATCCTCCATACAGTAGCTAGTACCTCTGCATGAGACAAGTCACCGTTGCTGCAGCTCCACTCTAAAACACAAGGTGTAGTGTTGAGAAAAATAATACGTATCATTATATTGAAATAGTATCTGAATATAAAGAGGAATATTTTTTATCAGAGTGGCAGAAACAGGCTTCCATAGAATGACACCAGATGTTTATATAAACAAAAATTAATCCACAGCTTCAGCTTTCTAAAGTTTCATCAATTTGATCATCATCTTCATGATATAATTGGTTTGGTTCAGAGGTGATGATGTATCTTAAATATTTGTAATATTAAATCTGCCTGCAACACATTTATTGATAATACTGGAAAGAAACATGAGATTCATGTTTTTGTTTTAATTTTTTTACAGCGTGATCGTCACCAGTCTCATCCTCACAGCCGTCTGCTGTTACTTGTTGTGAGTACAGATGTTTTATTCTTCTTAAGAGCTAACTGGGCTCTGATTTAATCTTCTGTGTTGTTGTTTATATTTTTTAAAACATCATTTTTATATACGTGATCAGGTATGACAGCCAAAAGCTTCCACAGGGACACAAATATGCTGAGTGGTCTGATGTTCATGAGTGTTTTCTAAATTTGACCTAATTTTGAATAGCCAACTATAGTTAAATCAAAACTAAAAACCTACCTGCTAGAGTTGTTTTGATTCATAATAACTGGAACACTGATCAATATATTTGATGTGCATTTGACCAAATGTAATATTTATTGCTGTTTTATAATGAGATGTAAAGCACTTTGAACTGCCTTATTACTGACATGCATTATACAATAAATTTGACTTAACTTATAGTAAGGCTAAAGTTAGAAGATGTCTAAACAAGCAGAATATTTACATTTTAGAGTTGTGGTCAAGTATCTCCAAAAAACATCTGCTCCGTTTCCAGAAAGCAAAAGAGAGAAACCGAAGTCAACAAAATGTTGATAGTTGCAAGATGGTCACAGTCATTCAGGATATATTCCACTTAAACTTATAGTTTTAATTTATTTTTAGTATGTCAAAGATAGGAAAAATAAAAATTTTAAAATCAACAAAACATTGGTTCACCTCAAACCATTTGGCCAATGGATGTGAGCTGCTTGCAATAATATCTTTCCGCCACTAGAGGGAGATCTGCAGCTTGAAGAAAACAGCAGGTGCAGGTTGGTAAAGGTTAGGATTAAAATAGTTTAGCTTTATTTGGATACAATAAGAAAAATAACCCTGTAAGCCACAGGATGGAGAATGAAATGTGACATGCTGTGAGAACATTAGATTATACTGAATGTGAGCAAAACAACAGAGATGATTTTGGATTATGTCCATCATGGGAAATAATCCAGGGGAGGTAGTGGAGGAATATAAATACCTCTGTAGACAACAAACTGGGCTGGTGAGTGAGGACAGACAGAGCTGACTGTAATTTCTGAGGAAGATTACGGTAGATCATTCAGCATTTGCATCAAGATGATGCAGATCTTCTACATGTCTCTTGAGGGGAGTTTAGTTAAATGCTGTAAGGTATTAGAAATTATTGCAAAGGTGATAGGGACGCAAGCAGTTAATGGACTTCTGAGTAAGGGTCGTTTAATGGTTTATTAGATTAAATTTCGTCCCAATCCATTAACTAATAACCGCTTACACCTCCTGTTAGTGATGTAATCTGGCCCCCATCCAGCAGAGGGCGCTGCTGGTCATCCTGAAGCGGAGTCAGTTGATTATATAGAACTAAAGATGGAGTCATACTAGAATGGGAAGGAGAAACGATCCAAACGGAGTCCGGTGTGGGATGCAAAATGCATTTTATGCGGTTCTGTTTTGAAATATAAACACTCGACAAACTCCGTAAGTTTCCCCTTATATAGCGCTCATTCAGCCGTACTGCATGCTAAACGACGTCAAGTTTTCATTCAAAAAATATTGATATGCTACAAAGCTAACGGTATTTTGCATAATAGTAACATGGTGGCTGCATGTAAAATGGAGTTTTTCCACATACTTTATACGTTTTCATCTGTTATTTTTCTATTCGGCAAAGATTGCTGTTTTCTATTTTATAAATAGCTCTGAGTTTAATGATGCCAACCCCCGCAACCTTCTGTTTATTCAGCCAGTATTTAATGCAGCTGAAACTAAATAATATTGAGGGTTTTTTTTTTAATTCAGTGTATTATGGAGAATGTAATCCTTCATGTTGTGGAATGACTTCGGCCCTCTTGATATGAGAGAAAAATCAGGTTTTTAAGAAAATGACAGCTTTTCAATTAATCATTAGTTGATCAATAAGATCAGTTAACTTTAACGAAACTCAATAACTTAATTATCTTGGAAAATATTGTGACGACAAGGTCAGTTGCGATATGTCTGGTTTTTTTCCGCTTTTTTTCATCTGTGCTTTCATTACTCTGTGACCTTTGGCATTTTGGGCAAAGTCATTAGTGTCCAGTGAGCATCTGCAGCTGAATTCAAAGGTTTTCTAAATGAGATAATGTGAGTTAATGGGGGGAAAAAAGCTCAATGTGAAAAAAAAAGTGTTTCCACTGTGGTTAATGATCTGTTGGGTTTAACAAATCATTAACCATCTAAACCATCTCAGTATGGAGCAGAAATCATGGGTCCAACAGAGGATGAATGTGGCTAACGCTAAACCGTGTTATGATTTAAAAATATGTTTTCTAATATCTCCTTGTATATAAATAACACTGCTGTGTTTTATTATCATCACTGTAACAGGTGTAGGTCTAGAGTAGTTTTGTAAGATTCAGTGTCACATCACCTAATTCTCCTACCTACAAATGAGCACGCCCCCTGTTGGAGTAAAGTTGACACTGCAGTTAGGAAGTTGACAGGATGTCAATTTGGTTTCTGGGTTTCTGATGCTGTAATTGCATAAAATAATCAAACAGATGTTTTTTGTAAGTTCTAGGGACTTAAAAATCCTACCAGCTAAGGTAAAAAAAAAATTAAATTAGTTATTATGTTACATGGACAAAGTTTAAATAATGAGAATAAGGTCCGTCACTTACTAGCTAGATTACTTTTGCTCCACCGAACTGTACAAACATCCCCAGCAAGAGGAATGGACTTTTATATCTTAACATAAGCAAAAAAAATAAATAAATCTTTAATTTCCTGATCTAATAATACCTGATGCTATATTTATATATGTACAAGTATATAGAAAAAAACAAAATATTGTGAAAAAGTTCAATATGTTTTGCCACTAATTTCAGAAAGTAAAACTTGTATGTTATATAGATTCATTACTACTGAGTGAAATATATTTTACTCCTTTATTTCTTGTAATTTTGATGATTATGGATAACAGGAAATCCAAAATTCAATTTCTCAGAAAATTTGAATAATATATAAAATTAACAAAAAAATGTGTTTTAAGCTGAAATATCAAGCTTCTGAAAAGTATAATTTCTATTCACTTAGTACTTGGTTTAACCTTTTTTGCATATAGTAACAGCAGATCAGAATGCTCATAAATGTAGCACATAGTTTACATGAAAATAAAAAGCAATAATAGAAAATTAGGGTGTTAATTGTTAGCTTGGCGCTCTTTCTGAAGTTGTTGGAAGCTGAAGTGACCAACTTTTGTCCCAATTCTGGGACACTTTTTGCACCATTAGGCAGTTGGCATGGCAACAAAAATGTAGCTTTACATAAACCATGAGCTAGATGTGCCACCTTCTGCTAACTTTGGCGTGACTACATGCTAAGGAAACTTCACCATCAAACTCATTGGTAGCATAAAACTTTTATCCTATCATTCATAATACAATTGAACTCTGGTCTGGAAACAAAAACATTTTGAATACCAAACTACGCTGATGATCTCTCTTTCTTTTCTCAGTTGGTTAGTAGCCATTTTGGCGCAGGCCAACCCACTGTTTGGTCCTCAGCTGAAGAATGAAACTATATGGTATCTGCAGTACTACTGGGAGTAAACAAGGTGAGTCCAATGGGAAACATGTGATCTCAGTTTAAGCAGCAGCAACATTTGCTCTGGGTCCGTCAGCTTTTTAATGTAATTTAGAAAACAACTACATGCTCAACTGGCAACACAAGAAGCACACTACTTCCTTTCTCACTTCAAATTAAGAGTCTTAAAAGGTATATTTCACACTGACAGGAAATATATTACAAACCCACATATTTACGGTATATTTGGTTTGGTTTAATGTATCTAATACACATGTTAAGGCTGGACTATATGGCTGAAAAATGTGTCACGACATAAGCGTTTCATATTGGTCCATATCAATCATTTTTTTTGTTTTAAATATCTGAAATACTGCCAATTATTGACATGGCCTTTTCTGTTTTATCACAGTTTTTTACTCCACATCATTGTTTTTTATTGTTAAACAGTTATGAGGCAAAACTTTAAACTGCTGCTGCGCCAGTTACTTAAGTTGTTGCTAGGTAACCAAAGGGTGAGTGAGTTGCTAGGTAACCAAAGAGTGAGTGAGTTAGTAGAATGATTCCACCTGTCTAGTTTAACCAGCCGTGAGAGATTTGGCATCTAAAGTCTTGCGTCTGCCTAAATCCCCAGAACCCATCTAAATTATTGAAAAGTCTATCAAACATATTGTGTATTGATATTGATCACGTCTCTATTACCATATTGTTTTTGATTCATTGTCCGGCCCTAGTGCAGATTAGCTCCTCCAGCTAATAGCTGTTGACAATTAACACTTTCTTTTTTTAATTTTCTCTTTCAGTAGTCTCATTTTTGTAACTTGCACTTTCCACACCAACAAACTAAAAAACATTCAACTTAAAAAGGTTTCAGGCCTACTATTATTTGTTTATGCAGTGGTTTTTTTTTTGTTTTGTTTTTAACTTATTCCATGTTTAATATACTGTAGAGCAGGTAAAATAAAAAAAAAAAGACTCAGTTAAATTATTTAGTATTTTGAATTGGACTAAAGAAATTTGAGCGTCTGAGTACGTTCAGCTTGTCAGCTGGCATCAAACTTGTTTTCATTTTGGGCCACATTAACATCACAAATGTTCTTGAAGGGCCTGTTGTGCCAGAATGTATTGAGAAACCTGATAAACGGTTGGAGCTGTCTCTGCATTTGATATGTTCTTCTTAAAATTATCTTAACTGACTTCAGTATAGTCAAAGAAATGGCAGGGTGTCAATTTGATTTACTTTCATTTTGTTAAAGCAGAAATTTTCTGTTTAGTTAATTGGTTATAATTTCAGTAAAAATGAAGTTATTTTCATGTTGTCGCTCATTTTGTCACCTTCTTGTCTTTCTCTTCCAGGACTCGGATGCCTCCTGTAATTCCCACCTGCTGATCTGCTGGACTTAATTTCACCATCACGTCTGATTCCCAACATCCTCACATCTTGGTCTGCAACATTATAAGATTCATACAAATCTTGACTTTAAGCATTTTGCAACTCAAAAGTTAACATCCGCTTTCTCTATAAACTTGGAGGATATTTAGATTACACTGCAGCCTCTGGGAGCTAAGATTTGAAGAATATTATAGGTTGTCTTTTAAAAATGAAGCAGAGGTAATCTGTTTGTCTTTTTTGTGCTGTGCTCAAACTAAAACTAAAAACTAAAACACATTAGAAGTAGATGTTATTTTTACATTTTGAAAATGCACAATCTTTTAATTTAGCCTTTGTTTATATTTTGGATTGTGTGTTGCTCTCTCGTCGGGCAAACCTGCATTTCAGTGTGTATTTATTTCGGGGCAAGGACACTTATGTGAGCTTGTAGTAATCAACACAGAGTCCATTGGGTCTTGTTATATAACTGGTATTATTTGTGATGTAACAGTTTGTGTGTGTGTGTGTGTGTGTGTGTGTGTGTGTGTGTGTTTGATTGAGTCAGTGTGAGCATGCAGAGTTTATAACTGCTGACGCAAGAGTCTCCCAAAAACTGCGAGCCGAGAGCGATTCCCTCCATTTTCAAAACGAAAACTTCCTCCCACATTCTTTTCCGTGCTCCACGCCATGGAGGTCCACGTTGCCATGGTGACCTCACCGCCCAATTCAGCCCTGATCCACTTGGGTTCTTTTGATTAAGCGCTACCCTTATTTCCTGCCTACGGAAAGACAAACGTCTGGTTCTGCTGCAGAGACGTGGTTGTGGAGAAATTGCTGCTTGTTGGTCTGCAGTTTGCGATCTGGTTTTAGCAGTTTCTGCTAGTTTTCTCATTTAAGTTATGGTGGATTAATCGATTGGTTTTGATCATTTTTTTTTACTTTTAGTATGAAGTTACATAGACTTTATCTCTAGTGATTTTATTCTGAATAAGATTTTTTTCTTTAATGATCTAAAAATGCCACTTTAGGGGCATTTTCACAGCTGATAGTCGGGTACACTCAGTTCAATTCGAGACCTAAATTGCAACATTCATTACTTTTTCAGCTGGTGTGGTTTGCTTTCACACTGGGCTGTCTTTGAAAAACCTGTTCCCCCCTCGCCTGTGGTGGCGCTGCCCTAAGAACTACTGAAGGAAACGACATGAAAACCTTTGAAGAAAACATTGAATGCTACTTCCTTCTTTATGAAATGTGAATGCAAACGAAGTGGAGTGAGATTTTAATTGTTGTGAGTTCCTCTTTTGTCTTTGCTAAAAGACCATGAGCTATTTCTCATAGAAATGGCTCATAGCATAACGAGCTAACACACAAGTTTGTTAGCTTTTTTGTTTAGCGAACAAGATAGACTTGCTTGTTTTTATTTGTATTTTCCCAGAATTCCCTATATTTTAGTCTGTTTCCTGCTTTTGGAGCAGTCTTTGGACCACTTGGTGTTCACATATGGATTCAAACTTCACCAGAATTCATTTCAACCAAACAGAGACCTACGTTTTTGGCAGACCAGAGTTTGTTTTGTTTTTTTTTGTCCATATCAGAGTTCGATTGCACATTCACACCTTCCCAAATGAACTAGATTGTCCAGGCAAACAAACTAGAGTTCAGTTAAAGCGGACTAAACAGGGCTGGTGTGAATCCCACTCCAGGTGTTGGTCCAGGAAGTAGACGGTTCTTTCTTTCTCTGCAGGTAACATGGCTGCTTAAATCAAGAATAACAACACAAACAGCAGAGAACACAAGTAGAAATGCTACCAAGCTGAAGCTCTGCCAATTCTTCTATTACACACATAAACTACTGTTAACACCGCAGCACAGCTATTTGGTGCAGCAAGTTAGACAAGGGGAGTTTTAAAATTGGCTTCTCATCGGCCTTTTTTAAGATCACAGGGTTGTCCTCTTTCTCAGGCTGTCATGGACCTTTAACTAAACTTTCAGTATATTTCCAATATTTGATTGGAAGTTGTGTAAATTACTTATCCTTAGTTTGTGTTATGTGGCACTGAGATCTAGCTGTGGCATTCATGAAGTGGATTTTTCACATTTTTAAGAAAAAGTTATGGCAGCCTGGCCTGTATGGTGGTCAGATTGTGTTTGCTTTTTCTCCTGTGGTGTCATGTCTTCCTGTGCCGATGAAATGAAATGCAGACATGTGTGTGACAGAGGCATCGGTTCAGTGCTGGTGTTGCTAAGGGTGATGTTTAATATCGGAGATGAACGGCCACAATAATGAAAGTTTCTCCAGCAGTGAGTCATAATCTGCCGGTGCAACGATGCAGTGACGGGTAAAATAATAGCACTAATTTATTGGCACACTCTTTAGGAGAATTCATCATATTAATTGTGATGAATTGATTATTGAAATCAACTAATTTAGTAATTGATTAATCGTTAAGCATTGAGACTCAAAAAAAGGTCATTTGCTGAAAGAGCAACAGTCAGAGCAGTAAAAAAAAAACTACAAAAAATATATACATTTTGCTTTTAAGATATAAAAAATATTTTATTAAAGATGTTTTACCCAAAACTCAAGTGCCATAGTTCTATCTTCACCCAGTTTGAATTTTGTAAAACAAATATCCTATTAAACACCTTTTGTTAACCAATTTTTAATCAATTAATTCAACTATACACTGTATTGACAAGTCAATTCAATTAAAAATACTTTATTAATCCCAAAGGAAAATGAAATGATGTTGTAGCTCATTGATTCAGATTCTTCAAGGAGTTATTGTAAATGGTGATGGCTGTTGGCAGGAAAGATCCCTTGTAGCAGTCTGTAGTGCAGCGAGGCTGAAGAGACCTCTGACTGAAGATGCTCTGTTTTCTCAAGAAGAGGAAAAGGCTGAGATGTTAGAAGTATTTTTTAGCTCCAGATGCGTCTTTTGGTACAGATAATCAAGCATCCACTAAAGGAATGCTTTTGTTGCATTTTAGACAGTAACATGTTTACTTTATTTAAAAAAAAATAAATTCTTTATTTGCATCTTTGAATGTATTTCTAATATTGTATAGAAAAGGATTCAGTGAAAAATCTACAGAAATTTTCTTCATTCAATTAATTGTTAGAACAATCAATGGATTAATTAAAAACTAAAATAATCGTTAGCTGCAGACCTGAATTTATCTTGTTGAATGCCACAGCGCCCCCTGGAGGGTGCATCAGCCCTAATCTGTCCACATCCTTCCCTTTCTCTTCACTGTACCTCCGTTCCTCTGGCATGTTGGACATTTTTTGGACTCACCTGCCTCCTGTTGAAGCTTTAAGCGTGTCATCTGCCAACCACGACCACAGCTACGCTTCCCGCCTCCACTCCCCGTCTCCCGGTCTCAAACACCCCTCCCTCCCCGTCCGCCTCTCCAAAACCACTTTGCTTCAGCCAAAAAGAAACCAAATCAAAATACAGCTACTTTTTAGAAAGACCAAATTGCGTTGTATCTTTGCCCCAGCCCTTTGCTGTAGCTGTGGTGGTGGTTGCACACGTACGAGTTAGTAGGTGACTATAATGTGGCATGCATGAAGAAAGGACACAAGGGAGGCTGCCCTTTTACTCCTGTAAAGATGCATGTTAGTTTTTAGTTTCGCTCCAGCAGATCTCATAAAGCGGCGTCTCGTTTGCTCAAAGTACATCGTTTTGTCGAAAGTGACAAAGCGGCTCCGACTTGATTTTTTGTTGTTGTTTGGGCTTTGTCTCTCTTCTCGTTGGGATTACGTTCCCAATCCCACTCATCACCCAACAGTTTGCGTACAGACGGACAGAGTCGCATCTTCATTGTCAGTGAATCACAGGAGACCAAATGGCATCGTTCTCACCCAGCCAAACTCGCTGAACTGACAGAGGGAACAGCCAAGACTTCAGCGAAATCCCTCCAAACGCGCCGTCAGTGAATGCAGCCCAGCCATTTGTCAACTATGTGGGATTTCTTCCTTTTGCGATGCTTCTCTCCAGCTTTGGTGATGACTGCCCACTACTCAGCTGTTAAACGCTCCTGGCAGTATCAAAAAGAGATGGATTTCATCACGTGTTGAGAGTCTCCACGGTAACTAAAATCCACCAAATCTCAAATCTAAATGTTGATGAAAATGGGATATGTATGATATGTATGTAGCCTTGTGTTATTGTGAAGTTAATTGGTGGCATTGTTGGTGAAATACCCCAATAAAGAATTTTGTCTCGTACAATTGAGTCATTTTATTACAGTTTTTCTGGTTTTTCCTTCTAATAGCAGCTGGTTTTATAAGAAAACAAATTGATCTGTGACCCTCAAGATTTCATGAAGTAGTTTCAAAATATATCCTTCAAGGACGCAATAACAGAAACTTAAAAAAAATTGCTTTTCCAGCTAATAACAGCTGCTTTTATAACAAGTTGATCTGCGACCTTAAATGTTTTATAAAGTAGTTCCAAAAGATTTAAAATATATCCCTCAAGGATACAATAACAAAAATGTTAAAAATGTCTTTTCCAAGCTAATAGCTGTTTTTCTGATTTATGATATTCAATGTTTTAAAAATTAGTTTTGAACAGTTTACATTTTATTCTTCAAGGATGCAGCAACAAAAATCTTAATGTTTTTATATTTTTGTAATCGAAATAAGTTGATTCACAAAGTTTGATGTTTTAAAAAGTAGTTTCAAAAGGTTTAAATTTTATCCTTCAAGGATGCAATAACAAAACCCTCCTGCATTACAGACCAAAGTCATGAGCAAATTATTTCTAAAGCTTATTTAAAACAACCAGAGTTGATCAAAGTGCTTAAAAAATCCAAGATAAACAAAAACAATGAATTCTCTGAAGGAAAAAAAAAAACTAAACAGAAGAAAGCGATATAAACATGCTGTAAAAGAAATGACAAAGTGTAAAATAATTTAATTTACAACCAAATGAATATATATGTGTAGGCAGACATGTTTGAGTTTTGTAGACTTTATACTCTGGGACTAAAAATTTGACTTGTAAAGGTTTAAAATGTATTCTACAACAATGCAACTGCAAAAATCTGAAAAGCTGCTTCTATACGCTATAAAAACAAAATCTTACCAAGTAATTTTGATCTAGTTTTTAGTGCAGATATCTCACTACACTGGAAATGAAACAAAAGTAACAAGTAACTTTTCAGCAAGATATAGGAGCTGGTTTTAAGTAAATGATTCCTTAATACTGACAAAAACATACTAGTTGCATTGGCAGATTATTTTATATGTAACAAGCAAAATTCCTTATAAGTGAAATAATCTGCCAATAATACAAATACATTTTAATTTACAACAAGCTCCTATAGCTTGTTGAAGGTTTACTTATAAGTTAGTTTAGTCTTATTTCAAGTTAACTAGGATATTTTCTAAAAACACTTGGTAAGATTTTGTGTTTTTGCAGTGTAATGGAAATAAGTTGATTCAAGACATTTGATGTTTGAAAAATCTGTTTCAAAAGGTTAACATTTTGTCCTTCAAGGATGCAATATTAAAAAAAGTTAAATCTCTGTTTTGTACATATAAGGTTTACATATGGATTATTTTTAGGATTTAAATGAAAGAAAAGTAAAATTCCTGTTTTGTGTCTGTTGACGTTGCATTGCTTGTTTTAGTTCGGTTAAATTACCTTGACATAAAAGAAGAAGGTTGACTAATCCGTCCAGATTCTTCTATCCGATACAAATAAAACGCAGGAATGATTCACACTCTGTTTATTCAGCTCGTATCTGAGGCGCAGTCATTTTTCTAGAAAGAAGCTGCTGCACTTTGTGGAAATATGAATCCTCGTTCCTCCAGTCACATTTAGGAATTAAAAAGCTTGTAAAGTGATTTATTTTGGCAGAAGGAGCTGGGTGTCAAAGACTGATCAGAATGCAATGAGTGATTCTCACTAACTGGCTTCTGAAATGTTTTGTTTTCAAAATATCTCCTCATTCATGAGCTTTAAGATCATCAGAAACTGTTCAACTGATGAATTAAAGGGGAAGCTGGAGGAGATCTCATGTAAAATCGACTTTTATTTTTAGCATTTTATCATGTTATAATGTTATTCCCTCATCAAAAACATACTTGATGAGGGTCTACAGGCCAGTCATGATCAAATAATCTTTATTTAGAAAGCTTTGCTTAATAAATAAAGCAAAGCTTTATTTGCTTTGCTTTGTTGCTTTGATTCTTCATGTTTAAGGAATTCTTGAATCTCCCATAGCAACCATGGGGCTGTTCCCATAGCAACCACAAGGTTGCTATGGGTGATATGGGAGGTGTGTGTGGGGTGGGGGGTCGAAGCTCTTTCTCTCAAAAAGAGTTGAATATTTCAGCGAAGCTCCTCCTTGAAGCTGTCAGAGTAGGAGCTTCTTAAAGGGACAGAGGCCCAATTTCAAGGCGTCAAATTGCAAAGTCAAATTTCTTTTATGTCATGTTTGATATAGCTGTGATATTGCACCTAGTAAAATAATGTATAAGAAAAACTTAAACTATGGTACAGTACGATGCCAATATAGTAGTAACTGATGGGAGATAACATAAGTAATAGTGGTAGAGGTACAGGAATTAAAACAATTTATTAATGCTGCATTACCTGTTGTTACACAGGTAATTGGTATGAATGACCTGCGGTATCTTTCCTTCCTCCACTGTGAATTTTTCAGTCTGCTGCTGCTGTTTGAGCTTTAAAATTGCAGCTTGTGCCTGGAAAATACATAATACTTCCCCTTTAAACAATGCAATAATAAAGACACCACATAATTCTGCTTGCTAACAGCCCGGTTCTGCACATATGGGTCTCTAGTAACAGTCACATAAACGCTAACAACCTAGAATTATTCAGAGAATGGGTCTTAATGTGCCCTCCCACCCTGACAACCCACTTTCCTCTGAGAATGCATCAAGATTTAACAATCTTTATGCAAGCAGCCATATGAGCTGACCTACATAACAGCGGCTATACCTTAGATAGGGAACATTTCATTATGCAAGGCTGCAGTTACAAGCTTTAGTCCATTCCTGTCTTTTTGTTCATGCATTGATAAACAGATTCCTTTGTAGTGCAAATTAAAAGCTGCACACAACCCACTTATTTCACTTTAACAATATTTTTTATGTTAATAAACATCCAGTAATGCACAACTTGCTTCAAGAGATGATGTACCTAAATAAAAATAAAATACAGCCCCTCTCCTTTCTTGACTCCAAATATGTTAAAAAATAAACCAGATAAATAAATGCTAATGCATATCAGAATAAGGTTTGGGTGGCTGCGCGTAAAGACGCCTGATAAAGACTGTAACCCAGAAAAACATGATCTGATTTCTGTTCGTCTGTTGCAACAGAAGGTTTTGGGTTATTGCTGTTTCTCCCTGATCAACCGTCGTTTTCACTAATCAGTACAGATAAAACTCGTTAGCAAGGTTTCGGTATTCACTTTTACTAAGTCTTCCTCCTGGTGTGCAACGACTCAGAAAAACAACTTGTATCTACAGGCCAGTCATGATCAAATAATCTTTATTTATAAAGCTTATTTAAAGAAAACACAGTTGATCAAAGCGCTCAAAAAAAAAACCAGATAAACAACAACAAACAAAAGCATTAAATTATCTAAAGAAAAATATAACCTGAAGAAAGCTATTTTAAAAAACGCTACAAAAAATTATCTGAAAAATTACAAAAAGCACAACACAATAATTTCATTTTTTATTTTCAGGTTTTATTTTCTGGTACAAATGTTTTAACTGATTCCTGCTTTGTTGTAGTTTTTTCATGTTTCACTGATAAAAAAGATCCTACCAAGTATTTTTTTTTGTCTAGTTTCTACTGCAAATGTTATCAGTTTGCTTGAAATAAGACAAAACAAACTACAAGTAACTTTTCAGTAAGATATAGTAAATAATTTCTTAATATTGATTTTAATATTTATATATTTGTTCCACTATTATCAAGTCATTTTTTCCCCATGCATGTTAAATAATTTGCCAGTGGAACTAATATTTTTTCATCAATATTAAGGAATTACTGACTTAAAACAAACTGCTGAAACGTTACTTCTAAGTTTGTTTTATTCCTGGTACACTCAGATATTTTCAAACAGAAAATTTTGTGTTTTTGCAGTGTATAGGCAGTTATTTCCCTCTTTTTCTTTTATTGCTTATTTCTGTCTATTTCCCCAGCTCTTTGGTCTTTCATTCTACGCAGCTGCTGTTCATTCAGTGTGATTCATCTCTCCGGATCTTCCTGAGCCTCTGTAATTAGCTTTTCGTCTTGCTTCGCTGCTTTCTACTGTTGATAGTTCTGGTTCAGTTGCTTCCTGGTCTTTGTTGTCGTGTTGCTGCTTGTAAGTTGGATTTAGGTTTAGAAATTAACAGATGTCCTCTGCAGACTCGGACCGGTTTTCTTCCATGATCGCTCAGAGTTCAGTTTTAATTTCCCATCAGTTTTCCTCTCCCTGCTGAAGAACAGAGTCCCAACAGCATGATGCTGCCACCACCGTCCAGGTGCAGGGTCAATTTTACTCCACCCATTTCATTTTGCATGTCAAAAAATTTCATTTTTAATCATGTTGGCAAATGTTTACCTGGTTTTATTTGTTGTTGCTTGTATGCATTAATGTCATTTTGATCCTTAAAATACCAACATTTCCATTTAACTTTGTATGTTGGTCCATCTGATGATGTAATTTTTAATATAAAATGTAAAAAGTATTCTTACCAAATTTTTTTTCACTCTTACGTCGGTAATTTCTCGAATGGCTACTTTTTACTTTCACTTGAGTAAAAATATGTTATCAGTACTATATTAACCAGAAGTGCATAAAAATGTTGCTGCATTTTAGGTTTTCCTGAATTAAATGAAATAGTAATTTTAAAAAATGAGCTAATTACATTTACTTGGGTAACTTTTTTGAAAAAAATATTCTTTTAGGAGTATTTTTACTACGCTACAATTTGTACTTTTACATAAGTCATTTTATTTCTCTTACTTGAGTAAAATTATAGATACTCCAGCCACTTTGAGTAACTTTATTGAATCAAGGACAGGCTTGTTTTAACTTAAACAAAATCACCACATAGATACATATCTGCAGTTTTGTTAAAATTATGCAAGTTTTATATAAAAAAAACTGATTTGGATTCTTTTGCCTGGTTTGGTTACATTGTAATTATGTAATTTACATGGATTTTTATCATTTTGTCCCTTAAAATACCAAAATGTCCACATAACTTTGTATTTTTTTAATTTATCTTTTGATCAGTTACTCAGTACTTGAGTAGCCTTTTGACCAAATACCTTTTTTACACTTGAGTAATTTCTTTGATGGCTACTTTTTACTTTTACTTGAGTAAAAATATGTTGAATAGTTACTTTAGTACAAGTTTTGGGTACTCTACTCCCCTCTGGCCACACAGCTCATCATTCAGAGCATATATTAAAAAAAAACAGTCATTTATTTCCCATCCTGGATTTCTTTAGGATGAAGGACAAACTCTTAATTTTTCATAAAACCCTCAAAAAAGTTACCCACAAACACTTGTTGGATTAGCTGTTGTTATTCCCTGCTGCCTCTGCTCCTCTTGTGAACGTAATGCGGGTCTGGAGGTGAAATGGATCCAGCGGGACGGGCTCGGAAGCAGCCCCGGGCCCAGCTGAGGTCACCGGGTTCGCAGCCTCGCGGCTCTCGGTGTCCTTAAACGCGGGTCGTGTGACCCCGCCCTCGTGACGATTCCGTGTCGTAGATCTGAAACATATCCGTTTTCACCGGCTGAGTAGGAAGTCAAGTTAGAACCAGTGAGTCGCTGAAACCGGAAGTTCAGTTTCACGCGTTCATGACAAAAAATGAACGACCTCAGGGGACAGCGACAGCTTTGATCAATGCCCTGGCAACCAAACAAGCAAATAATTATTCAAATCGGACACGTCATTTATTAATTCATTCACTGATTCAGGTTAAAGTTTGACACAATTTAAAATGAAATATATATATTTTTGCATCCAATTCTGTTTTGACTTAAAAAGCAACACTATAAAATTCACAACTATGTTTTAAAATTATTAGAAGTTGGGCTACGTCTTAAAAAAATCAAAAAACATAATCAATAAACCTAAAACACAGGCAGGAACACAGATTATAATGATATTAAAAGTGTGTTAAGCCTGTATTCATTCAAGTAATTGCTCCATTGGCAGACTATTTAACTTATAACATGAAAAAAATGTCTTGTAATTAGTGAACTAATCTTCCAATTAAAGTATTTTCATCAATATTAATGAATCATTATCTTAAAACAAGTTCCTATATCTTGCTGAAAAGTTCCTTCTGAGTCACTTTTGTCCTATTTCACATGTACCAAGATATTTTCAATGGAAACTAGACCAAAATTACCTGGTTAGTGTAGTTCATATGTATACAGCTCCTTCAGACTAGTCAGGAGCAATTAGCAAACACCTTCTAGAGCTCAGTATACTAGCTAATTTTCAGTGCAACAGTGGTATAAATGCTGTTAAACGGTTAATAGTGGAGCAATGTTGTGATGACTTCCTGAAGTCGGAGTTCCAGAAAGAACAGCAGTTTTTAAAGAGACAGAGACCTAATTTCAAAGTCTAGAATTACAAAATCATTTTTAAAGTATATTTGGTATATAGAATTTTTAGAACAACTGAAGTTGCTTGATTGTGGTGTAAAATGGCACTTTATGCTTAGAAAGTACATAATACTGCCCTTTTAATACATTTCTAATTTTATAGACTTATATACATTTATGTCTTGAAGAACATGATTCTGTATACCTTAATATGACCTGAACATGAATTTGGTGGGGGAAGTGGGGCCAGTGGAGTGGCCAACATTTTTCAAGACAGGGGTCAAGGTCCCTCAGGGCCCTTTCTTAGGGGTGCCACTGTTGTATCCTTTGAGATATATATATA